CTTACTACTCTCTGAGTAAAGAACCTACCTCTGACATCTGTCCTATATCTATCACCCCTCAACTTAAAGCTATGTCCCCTCGTGCTAGCCATCACCATCCGAGGAAAAAGGCTCCCACTGTCCACCCTATCTAATCCTCTGATCATCTTGTATGTCTCTATCAAGTCACCTCTTAACCTTCTTCTTTCTAACGAAATCAGCCTCAAGACCCTCAGCCTTTCCTCATAAGACCTTCCCTCCATAACAGGCAACATCCTGGTAAATCTCCTCTGCACCCTTTCCAATGCTTCCACATCCTTCCTATAATGCGGTGACCAGAACTGTACGCAATACTCCAAGTGCGGCCGCACCAGAGTTTTGTACAGCTGCAACATGACCTCATGGCTCCAAAACTCAATCCCTCTACCAATAAAACCTAACACACCGTATGCCTTCTTAACAACGTTATCAACCTGGGTGGCAACTTTCAGGGATCGATGCACATGGACACCGAGATCTCTCTGCTCATCCACACTACCAAGAATCTTACCATTAGCCCAGTACTCTGTACTCCTGTTACTCCTTCCAAAGTGAATCACCTCACACTTTTCCGCATTAAACTCCATTTGCCACCTCTCAGCCCAGCTCTGCAGCTTATCTATGTCCCTCTGTAACCTGCAACATCCTTCCGCGCTATCCACAATCCACCGACTTTGGTGTCATCCGCAAATTTACTAACCCATCCTTCTATGCCCTCACCCAGGTCATTTATAAAAATGACAAACATGGAGAGATAGTCCTCCAGCAGGAAGGCATCAATGTGCCATTATAGAATCTATTTGTTGCTTGTGATTTCATCATTTGTAAGCTTTTGCAGGAATATAACCCAGTAAAAAGCAGTTTACTCTATCTTCAATGTGAAGGTGGAACTTTGTCTCCACAAGGACTGTGCGATGGTCACTCTTACCGATACTGCCGTGGACAGATGTATCTGCAGCTGGCAGATTAGTGAGGATGAGGTCAAGTATGTTTTTCCCTCTTGTTGGTTCCCTCACCACCTGCCGCAGACCCAGTCTAGCAGCTATGTCCTTTAGGACCTGACCAGCTCGATCAGTGATACTGCTGCTGAGCCACTGTTCGTGGTGGATATTGAAATCCCCCACCCAGGGTATATTTTGTGCCCTTGCCATCCTCAATGCTTCCTCTAAGTGTTGTTCAACATGGCGGAGTACTGACTGATCAGCTGAGGGAGGACGGTATGTGGTAATCAGCAGGAGGTTTCCTTGTCCGTGTTTAACCTGAAGTCATGAGACTTCATGGGGTCTGGAGTCAATGTTGAGGACTCCCAGAGCAACTCCCTCTCGACTGTATCCCACTGTGCCGCCCCCTCTGCTGGGTCTGTCCTGCCGATGGGACAGGACATATCCAGGGACGGTGATGGTGGTGTCTGGGACATTGTCTGTAGGGTGTGATTCTGTGAGTATGACTATGTTAGGCTGTGGTTATTGGTATGTAGGACAGCTCTCCCCAGACATCAGTAAGGAGGATTTTGCAGGGTCGACGGGGCTGTGTTTGCCATTGCCATTCCTGGTGCCTGGGTCGATGCCAGGTGGTCCACCAGGTTTCATTGCTGCGGGTGTGCAGTCACATGTAGGCCAGGCCAGGTAAGGATGGCAGATCTCCCTCCCAAGACGGCATTAAGGCATCTTCTAGACAGAGATCATAAGATTTCTAAATAATAAGGGATAGGGCTGGAAGACGGTGTGAGATGAAATATCAACCATGGTTGAGTTGAATAATGTAGTAGGTTTAAGAGGTTGAATGGCCTCCTCCTGCTCCCTATTTCCTTGTGTACACTACGCTTCCCCAAACAGCAATGTGATATTGACCGAGATAATCTGTTTTTCTGAGAATTAACAATAGCTCCCAAGCAGACAATGAGGAACTCCCGGTGGGTTCTATAACCTCCAGCCAAAATCACAGATAGAGCCTCACTTGACATTAGCTACGAGCCCTTCCCTCAGCATTTACCCCCTGGGGCAGGTCTAGATGATGAAGCTTGAGTCTCTGGAATAGAGGAGAACTGAACCTGCAGATCAAGAGGCCAGGGAAAAGAACTCTCCGATAAAGGAAAATCCCTTCCCTCACCCCTTAAAGTTTCTGCAGGATCAATCATGGATTTGTGAAAATGGGGAAAGGGGCTGAATATCCCAAGATCAGTGGTGGATTTGGGAAAGTAGGCTCATAGAATCCCTACAGTGTGGAAGCCGGCCATTCAGCCCATCCAAGTCCAAACTAACCCACCAAAAAGCTTCCCACCCAGACCCACCCTCCATTCCATCCCTCTAACCCCACATTTCCCATGGCTAATCCACCTAGCTTGCACATCCCTGGTCACTGTGGGCAATACAACATGACCAATCTACCCTAACCCGCACATGGAATCATAGAATTCCTACAGTGTGGAAACAGGCCCTTCGGCCCAACAAGTCCGCACCGACCCTCAGAGCATCCCACCCAGACCAATCCCCCTATAAGAAGAAGTTGTAAAGAAGGTGTATGGTGTGTTGGCTTTCACTGGCAGGGGAATTGAGTTTATGAGCCGTGGGGTTATGCTGCAGCTCTATAAAACCCTAGTTAGACCACACTGGGAATATTGTGCTCAGTTCTGGTCGCCTCATTATAGGAAAGATGTGGAAGCTTTAGAGAGGGTGCGGAGGAGATTTACCGGGGATGCTGCCTGGACTAGAGGGCAGGTCTTATGAGGAAAGGCTGAGGGAGGTAGGGCTTTTTCATTGGAGTGAAGAAGGATTAGAGGTGACTTGATAGGGGTGTACAAGATGATGAGAGGCATAGATAGAGTGGATAGTCAGAGACTTTTTCCCAGGGCAGAAATGACTATTATGAGGGGGCATAATTTTAATGTGATTGGAGGAAAGTATAGGGGAGATGTCAGAGGTAGGGTCTTCACACAGAGAGCTGTGGGTGTGTGGAATGCGCTGCCGGCAGTGGTAGTGGAGTCAGATACTTTAGAGACTTTTAAGCGACTCTTGGATAGGCACATGGAGGATAGTAAAATGTAGGGTATGCAGGGTAGTTTGACAATAGGTCGGCACAACATTGTGGGCCAAAGGGCCTGTACGGTGCTGTATTGTTCTATGTTCTATAACCATCTAATCTGTACATCCCTGAGTCGTAGTTGGGAGAGTAGTTGAGTGCCTTTATCTCTGATCTCTACCTCCCTGTGCAGACCCCACTGGGATGGAAGGCAGCTCGTAGTCACCATGTCAAAGATTTACTTCCCCAAGTTTCTGCTGCCCAGAGTCGGAGCTGGAGATGTAAGGGGGAAGGAGTAGATGAGGGCAATCTCTGGGGGTCGTGGGGTTAATGTGGAAGGGGGTAATCAGGCAGGGTAAGGGAGGAGGTGTACAAACTGTGCAAATGGTAAGGAGGTAAATGGGGAGGGGAAAGGGGGTAAATTGGGAGGTACAAAGGGGTAATGGGAGTAAATAGGAAAATGCAAAGGTAAAGGAGAGGGATTAAATGGTGAAGGGGGTAAATGGAGAGGAATTAAAGGAGGCCAGTGGCGATAAAGGTGAAGTTAATGGGGGGGGTGTTAAATGAAGGGGTAGGGGGTCAGTGGGAGTAAATGGGGGTCAATGTGGGGTAAAGGAGGTCCATGGGAATCAGTAAGGATAAAAGGGTGTCAGTTGGGGATTTAAGGGGTCAATAGGACAGGGAGCTTAAGGGAAAATGGCTAGGGATGAAAGAGGTAAATTAGGGGTCAGTGGGGTCTCTACAAGGGTAAAGGGGTCAATGGGGACAGGTTAAAGGGATAAATGAAGGGGTAAAGAGATCAATGGATGTGAATAGCGGTCAATGTGGGGTAAAGGGAGCCCAAGGGGGTCAGTTGGGGTAAAGAGGTCAATCAGAGTAAAAGGGTTAATGGTGGAGGGGAATCATTGGTGTCCAATAAGGGGTCAGTGGGGGGAAACTGGGTAAGGGTGTCAATTTGAGGTCAGTGGGGGTGAATGGAGGTCAATGGCAGGTCAGTGGAGGCGAAGGGGTCAATGTGGTGTCAGAGGGGGTAAAGCAAGGTCATGGCAGGGTCATTGGGGTAAAAGGGGCCAATGGCAGTTCAATGGGGGTAAAGGGGGGTCAATGCCAGGTTAGGGTGTAAAGGGGGTCTGTGTGGGGTCGGGGATAATGGGTGTCAATTGGGGTCAGGGTTAAAAGGGGTGAATGCTGGGTCAATGGGGTAAATGGGGGTTCAATGGGGGTTAGTGAGGGTCAGTGCGGTCAATGCAGGGTAAATGAGGGTAAATGGGGACAATGGGGAGTTAATAGGGGTAAATGGAGGTCACTGGGGTCAATGGGTTAAATGGCAGTCATTGAGGGTAAATGGGGACAACAGGGAGTTAATAGGAGTCAATGGGGATCAATGGGGTAAATGGGGGTCATTGAGGGTAAATGGGGTCAGTGGGGTCAATAGGGGTCAATGGGGTATGTGGGGGGTCAATGGGGTAAATGAGGGTCAATGGGATAAATGGGGAGTTAATGGGGGTCAATGGGGTAAATGGGGGTCATTGACAGTAAATGGGGGTCAGTGGGGT